CCTGAAATTGCATGTCTCTCATGAAACAATACGTAAGCACCTAGGGAATATGGGAAAACTCCGCAAAGAAGGAGTTTGGGTGCCTCACGAACTCTCTGATGATCATTGTTTCCATCTTGTGAACGTTGCTTCGTCTCTTTTGGCGCGTAATGTGCGTGAACCATTCTTGGATAGAATTGTCACCGGGGATGAAAAATGGATTCTCTATGCGAATATTAAATGCTAAAAACAATGGCTTAGTCCTACACAAAACCACTTCCGACCCCAAAACCTGGACTCCATCCGCAGAAGTGATGCTTTGCATTTTGTGGGACATCAAAGGAGTAATTCATTTCGAACTCCTCAATCCACAACGAACTGTCAATGAAGAGATCTATAGTCAGCAACTGGAACATTTAAATCAAGCCCTTCATCAGAAACGCCCTTCACTCGTCAATCGGAAAGATGATCTTCTCCACGATAATGTACATCCACATGTAGCATGTTTGACGCAATACAAGATTACGGAGTTGGGTTGGGAAGTCCTCCACCACCCACCATATTTTCCAGATATGGCACCATCAGATTTCCATTATTTTCATTCTCTGCAACACCATCTTAATGGGAAGACATATGCAAATATGGAAGGTGTTAAAGAGGACATCGACATGTATTTTGCTCCAAAGCAAAGTGATTTCTTTAATCAGGTCATTAACAACCTGATTGTAAGATGGAAAACCATATTCGATAAGAATGGAGACTATTTCATTTAATAAATGTTTTGTTTTGATAAATAATTTATTTGGGTTTTTCATCTAAAAAAAAGGCGACATTAATTTCTTGACGACCTAATAATTGATGTTATCTTTGTCACTTTGTTTTAAAAGCATATGTTTAAAACAAGTCAAACGTATGTACACGTTTTGCACGTTACACTATTGCTTATCCAGAGCTTTAAATAATTGTCTTTTTTTTTCGTCAAAGAACCTAATTAAAAGGACGAATTATTCCTCTCTATCAATGTTATTACAATACAAGCTGTGACACTTTCACTTTAGGAATCGTTGTTATGGCTAAACAGAAAATCACGCAGTCTAACTTCACTTTTACTAATTTACATCTCTCTTTGTCTGCACGTAAAGGTTGAGGTTTTACCTTTTTTCTTGTGATATAACATTGTTTCATATTATTTTCCAAATATGACTTTTCTAGTGATTCAGTCTTTTTTCTGTTTCCATATAAATGGTGATTTCACCTGTTATGTCATCCCCTGTAAGTCCTTGGATATAATTCTAGATAGATACTGCATTTGAAAAACCTTATTTCTTCTCCTTTTTAGCAAACTGTTTGAAAAATGATAATTTTTTGTTTTTTAACTGGTTCAGGGTGCCTTTTGAGAGGTATAAAGCCATACATTTATGCCAGTCTGTTGAAACTATCTGTTCAAATATTTACTACAGGTCAGTACATTATTTGTCTACCAAATAAACAAATTAAATCTGGTCCAATTCTGAGCTCTCTGAATCTATCTAGGGGCAATGAACCACTATCAAGCTCTTCTCCTGTGAAACTCATTTTGAATATCAGCTCAATTTTTATGTTTTTAAGGTATGTCATTTCTTGAAGTCTCTTCCTAGACCTATTCCTTTGAAATGTGTTTGTATCTTGACTTCACTGTGCTTTATATTGCATTCTCTCTAAATATTTTTGTTTTTTTTAGCTACTAGAACTTTTTGTATTTATTCTCTCTTTTGGGAATCAATGATTATAATTACTTGATATTTACTGAGCCTTTTTGGTGGGGGCACCATGCACTTTACATAGAATAGCTTGAGACTTTTCTGTCACCTCATCTTTGATTTCCAATCCATTGGATTTTCTCTCCCTTCTCTAAATTCATAGTTCTTGTACAGAACTTATAGATTCTTTCTGAAATTGTCACCATATGTATTCTGATGGATCTTTTCATAGAGACAGATAGAATAACCTTTGGAATTATGAGGAGGGCTCAAATATCATTTTGTCTCTATGACTGCTTGGTTTGATGGGAGTTCTTGTGTTAAACTGTCAGTCCTTGTCCTCTTCTGGATTCTCCATGAAGGAACATCTTTTCAGAAGGTTCAATCTTTCTGAATGTTCTACATGTCTTCAAACTTGTCATTCTTTTCCCAACATAGTCTGATATGGAAATATCTGCATTTATGTTTCATTCTTTGTCTTTATGATCAGACAATATCTTTGTTAATTTCAGGTCACTATGTCTATCCAGGAATAAATGTCTTCATTGCACTGCTGACCTTCTTCTGTCTCATTTGCATTCCAGATGTTGTTTTGATCAGATTATGTTTTAATGCTTATAGTTTGAATTCCAAATTTGTTAAAATTGTAATAGCTCAAGTAAATCATGTTGTTTGTTTACTTAGGCTAATGGTACCATTAAGCATTTCAATTGTATGTCTATTGATACTGCCCAAAAGGGTTCCAAACATTCTACTGAGACACTTAACATTCATTTAAGTAACTCTGTTTCATTTGTTGTAAAGTCTCTTTTGCAGCTTTGTTTGGGCTGAAATGACTAAATATGTTTTAAAGAAAAAATTAAAAATTATTACATGTTGCGTTGTCTCTAAATATTTTTGTTTTATTAGCTACTAGAACTTTATGTATTTTTTCTCTCTTTTGGGAATCAATGATGTATAATTACTTGATATTTTCTGCGTCTTTTTGGTAGGGGGTGCCATGCACTTTACATAGAATAGCTTTTGTGTATAATTCACTGCTGCAAATAATAAACAAAATGAAATGAAAAAAATACACTGGTTTACAATGAACTCTTTTGGTGAAGCTCAACACTAGCAGCACCCCTGTTTGCCTATCATATGTTGTTTTGTATTGTCAGTGAGAACAAGAAACCTACTCGACCACTATCAATTAAATATGAGATTGGCAACAAATGTGGGGGTATTGTTTCTTAGGGATGGAAGAGTTATGATTATTTTTTATTTATATTGGAAAATGAAACCTTGGTGATATTTAGAATTAAATTGCTTTTTAGGTTCTGTTTTTTTATATTTTTTTTATGAATCCCACTTAATTAAGTACTAAATTTCTCAATATAAGAATGATGAATGCACTTGTTGTAAGGTGTGTGAATCAACTTTAAAAAAGATGCCATGTAATGGTGATACTCTTGAGGAATTTGGTGTAGCGGGTAAGGTAAATATCTAGGTGGTCTAAAATGTGATACACATTGCCTGGGCTCTGTTCATTGTCCATTGGAATTTTGTAATCATGCTGAATACTATGTTCTGCTCAGGTGTTGTTACTGTAAATGTATTACAAGTTAAACACAGTATGAAGTCATGAACTTTAATGAATTGTTTGGAGTATGCATATATATTTGTATAAAGTTTAAACTTAAGATGCATAATTTGTTTGGTCTCTTTTCGACAGTTTTATTTGCTCAAGAAATAAACTTCCTGTGAGAATCATTGTATTAGCATTAAGAAAAGAAATTTCACAAACAATATTAATGTTTCATATTTCTGATTTTGAAAGTATAACTTGTAGGCTATATTACATTGCAACTTTTATTTTTTGTACTATTTAAAATTTTTTATAGTTTTTCTTTTCTTCTTCTAGAAATATGATTCCCTTATAGTTCGTTCAGCAACTAAAGTTACCGCTGATGTGATTGAAGCAGCAACTTCATTGAAAGTGATTGGTCGAGCTGGAACAGGAGTAGACAACATTGATTGTGATGCTGCCACTCGTCAAGGCATTTTAGTTATCAAGTTAGTAGAAAATGTAATAAGTTAATATTAAGTACCGATCACAAAGGAGAACTTAATAAATATTGTTTAAAATTATGATGTCAGAACTAGTGTTGTGCTTCACCAATAAAGGTATAATATTTCATCAGTAAAATAAAATGTTAAATAGCCTCATAAAAATTATATAAATGATATTTTAAATGACAAGAAAACAATTTATGTATTGGTTATTATAAATGCATTTTTTATCCACAGTGCTCCAGGTGGTAACACATTGAGTGCTGCAGAACTGACTTGTTGTATGGTTGTTTCACTTTCGCGGTAAGTTTATTTGGGCAAATTGGTTGAAGTAGAGTTGAAATTTTGTAATATTAAAGTTACATATCTAGTTACTTTGTTATCATCTTGACTGAGTCCCTTTTCATTTTACAATTAATTGGTTTCCTTAACCTTCTATATGTAACTTTTGGACATTTTATTTTTAGATTAGAAAACATTTATAAACTTTGTTTTTTAAATTTCTAATATTTCTGTCTTCTATTTTTTGATATGAAACTTGAAACTTTTATTTTTAATAAACAAAACTATTTATATATTGAAATTGTGGTGTACAAATATACTAGGCATTTTCTATCTCCTTTATTTAGTAAAGTGAACACTTTACATTACCTAAAATTTGTTTACACTTTTATGCATACACTCGTGCTCTTTCTTGTTGGAAAGATCACTGTAAAGTAGGTCAGTATGTAAAAGGTAGCCATCTAACTTTTTCAGTGGTGAGTAGGTGATTCATGGTATTGCCTCCATTAATTTTTTTATTTGAATAACCAAGAGTGGTGTTAATAGCACGTGCACATTGAGATGGATAGCGTTACAGATACTTCTATATAATGCTATGCTTTCTCAGTCTGGAACAAGCTCTTAGAGATTTTTCAGAGCCAGAGCTTCCTGGAGATTTTTAGCAGTCTTATTATGCTGATATTCATTGAACTACTTGTTTTCACTGTTTTAGAACATCCTGTCCAGTCTGTTTCTTTACCGTCAAAGCCAAGAGAATACGTAATTAATCCATGCAACATTTCTGGTCAAACCTCTTGTTATTAGTGCACAGTACTGAACCTAATGAGAAAAACAGTTTATCTGGAAGTATGAAAATTAATGGTTATTTTTCACAATTTTGTATTTTGATTATGTTCTGTAATAAATGCATTTTAGCTGAATGTAAGCCTCTATTTTATGTTAAATTTATTCTCATATTTTTACCTGTCTTTATTATTATGTAGGAAAATTGCCCAAGCTTGTGCCTCTTTGAAAGCTGGACTGTGGGATAGGAAGACTTATATTGGTGAAGAACTTCAAGGAAAGACATTGGCTATTATAGGTTTAGGTCGGATTGGTCGGGAGGTAGCATCTCGTATGCAGTCCTTTGGAATGAAGGTAGACATATAGCTTAAATTATTTGTGTGGTGGAAATGAGAAGAAAACATGAAATATAACTTGTCTGTTGTTAAAAAAAGAAAAAAGAGGGTTTCCTTTTAGCCAGAGTTGCTAACTGTTCATAAGTTTATGGGAAGTCAGTAACAAAAAAGAAAAATCACAGTTAACATTGTTCCTAAGCTAGGTAGACCAGATTTCCAAACCACAAAACTGGGACAGCCCAGCCCTCACTTCTAATTTCAAAATGGTTATTAAAAATTTGAAATAATTTAACTGTAATTTACTTTGAATTTATTTACCTATTCCACAATATTTCCAAATATATTAACACTGACATTGTTTTTGAAATCATTTCAGCTACATTTTTAAGTGATACACACAAATCAAATGAACAAAAATAGTGAAATTATACATCCAAGAAATCTTTATTGACTTTATCCAGTTCATTTTAAAATAAGCTACTTCATACCTGAATTTATCTAAGAATCCATAACATTTTCAAACATACTGCTTTTAGGTTTTACTATTACTTTGAAACTTTTTAGACGTATATAAGAAGGACTGGAACATAGAAATTCTGTCACCAAGTCATGAAATTCAGTACATAGCTGTAAAGTGTATTTTTGACGATAAGCAATGCCTGTGCAGACCTCGGTTTCTCACCATGCAAAGATGGAACTTTCAAGACAACTTGATGGCAGGAGAGTATGTATCACAACAAATAAGCAAGTCAAATAGGCCTATAACATTTGTAATTTTTTGTGACTGACAGTTTGATGTCTTTATCAAAAACTAAGGCATTTTATTAGTCCAGAGAAGATTTCTCGGAACACTGGGACAAACTGTCAAAAAACAGGACTGTCCTGGCAAAACCAAGATGTTTGATCACCCATACTAAACTGTAAATAGCCAAAAATGTTTTCATTTGATGATGTCAATGAAAATATACAGTTTCAATAAACAAAAAAGATGCCACTGTTTAACTATTTTAGCACAAATCTATACAGTAGGCTACATGTGCTCTGTCCAACAGGAGGAACAAAATCATAGATTTTAGCAATGTACATCCATAACTTACTGCTTACCCACTGGGAACCTGTATGTCAGTAAAATCAAAATTGCAAATTGGAAATTCTGCTTTTATTTCATGATGAAAATGTTGTTTTATCATCTTTACTTTGAAATATGTTTTACATTAATCTGATCGAAGTGAAATATATTGGTGGAAATATTGCATTTCAATCAGATTGTTTTTTGATCATGGATTGTCTGTGCAGATGAATATGTTTGTTTTTATTTTAAAAATTCAACCATTTAATTACAGAATATTCTTAGTTATCAATTTCATGGAAAGTTTGAGTGTCATTTAGAGGTTAATAAACTGGATTTGAGGGAACTTACTTTAAAAAAAATGTGACAACATTAGTGTTAGTTTAGTGTTAAAAATAATCAAATGGATGTATAGGAAGGTGTATATCATCAAAGTTTGCAGAATATCTATTTTTCTTTCAGTATACATATCTGTTAAATGGCACTTAAAAACTAGTCATGAGCAGTAAAGATCCAGAATTCAGGAAAAAAAATAATCTCAAATTTTAAATGAAAGTTTTTAAACAATTTTAAATCTGTGTACAGTTGATGAAAAATGTGAATGAAACTCAAAAGCTCATTTGATCAATGCCACAGTAAATTACAACATTTTGTCAGTAACACTTCTATTGTTTGAAGATGGATATTTGTTTTAGCAGCTTTAAACTTGGTTTCATCCTAGCTTAAGAATTTTAACTTGGAATCCATTTTCAGTTTTGATAGCTAATTTCCCCTCACAGAAGAAATGCTTACCTTAATAAATTAGACATAAAAAGAATATCTACTCTTCACGCATTGACAGGAGTATGTTTTGGAACTACAACGTTACAGGCTACAAGATTAGTAGTTGGGACTTATCTAAGTTTTGGTAATGTGTTAAGGAAGGCCTTCAAGCTGTTTTCATTGAGACTATCACCAACAAACTACAATACTGGGTTCCATCATGATCATACTGTGTACGGCTTTAGAACATCTAGATTTCAAACTCATTGTGTAATTTATTTATAAAGAGGAAGTATTTTTATTTTCTTGGATGTTTTAATTCACCATAAGTTTACATAAAAAAAATCTTCACTATAGATCCAAGCATTTCACAGAGTTATTTTAAATGACACGTTTAAGAGATGATTTGAAAATAACCCAAATTATAGCACGCCATTTGAACTTTCAAGTTTATCTCTTATAACTGAAATAGTGAAATAAAAACAAAAACAATTCTAAGTATATTCTTAAAATAACTTAGACTATCCTTACACCCTACATTCTCAAGCAAAATGCTGCATACAGTAGCAATTCTATGAGAGAAATAATTCTGTCAAAGATGAGGGTATACTCTAGGTTTCCAATTCATATATTAATTATCTGTGATACCAATGTTACCATTACTAATTTTACCAGTCCATAAATCAAAAAAGTTGTTATTTGTATTAAAAAAAAACAACATAAGTGGCATTTTGACATTTTGAGCCAGGCCTTGTAAAAATCGTTTTGAATCTAACTATCAATATTTACCACAAGGGTGCCCTCTTCCAAAACAAATCAGTAACCTTATCAAAGAGCTCATGCTATTTTTGATGTGATAAGCTGTTTATACACATTCTAGTATTCTAGATTATTTTCTGTAACAGTAAATCAATAATGTAATAGGTATTATACTTGTTTTGTAGACAGGAATAACATGAGCAATCATCAAATGATTTTTGAAATTGCTATTATAAGTCCCATTAAGATTTAGGGTATATTTTATAAGGACCAGGAATTTTTCATTTGAAGAAACGCAGAAGAATTAGTCAAAATCACTTGGTAGTACTCATTTAGACCTAACTAACTTTGTTATACCAAGTTTTCAGTTATAAGATACAGAAAATAAGAATAAAAGGTTTGAAGCTGAAACTTACTTTTAAACCAGGAAGGCTAATGGCTATATTTCACTCTGGATCTGAGGATAACATAGCACATAGGTTGTTTAACAAAACATGCAATACATGAAGTTTTCTGTACTTACATAGTAACTTACCTTAAAATCAGGAAAGAAATAAAGACCATTTAAACACAATAAAACAGATAAGGGCAAATAAATTGTTGCAGAACATTATGTTCTTAATGACTGTTGCAAAGTTTTGAAACTTTGACAGAGTTGAGAACTGGAAAGCAGCAAAGAACGATAGATGACCTTATACTTTGACCAATGGTTATAGGAGTAAATATTATCTTCATAACTTTGAACAGAATAAAGCAAAACAAACTACAAAATCCATTACAAAAAAACAACAACAACACAGGTATGAGGCTGAATGAATACTTTTAAGTTGTGCATCTCCATAACTCACTGTACATATGGATAAGGTAGTTAAGGTGTTCTTTAACCATGGTTGATGTAAAACAATTTTTATCTCAAATGAGTAAAGCATACTGATAATGGTAAGAAAACAAATTTTTAAGTTTATTGATGTTTTATTGAGCTGCCTAGCTCTTTAGTATCTAGACTTTGTGGTATGCAAGCTTACCATGTGCTTCCTACCACTTTGGTTAATATATCAATTTTAAAAAATTTCTGCACGTATTGAGCGTGTGTTCTTAATGTAGAAACTCTGTCAAAGGAGCTATTAAGTTCCTCTTTTCCTAGTTACTTATCGAACTAGGTCATCCAATTGGGGTTTTATATGTGCTTTCTGTTAGGAAAGATTGCTGTAACATAATGCATACTGTGCAGAAGTGACAATGACCTATTCTTCTTGCAAGTTAGCTGATGTCCCAGGGATGTAATATTCCTTGTTTTGCTATGAGAGTGATCATCCGTCACATGGGTGGTGCCTGCAACCTGAAAAGAATGACATTGTTGTTGTTCTTATATGATGTCATGTTTTTTCAGTCTGGAACAAGAGGAATATTAACATGAATAAGAAAACATTGCTCCGATTACAAACATTGATTCATTTTGAGACTTAACACTTCAATAAAGGTGCTAAAATATACATGCCCTTTAAAGGTCTTAATTGTATTTGTGAGTGTTGAGAATAAAGATTGTTTCACTGAGCTTAAACTTGTGTCCAGTCTCTTTCTGTACTTCAGATTTAGTTAAAGTTAAGATAATTCAGGTTCTGTCTGCAAAACGTTTTCTGCAAACCTCCAGTTACTATACAACTTCTGTCCAATTACTTAAAGGTAAACCAGTGAATCTGAGAATACCACACATTTTCTGATCTTAGTCCACTTTGAGTTTGCTTGTCTTTTGATAATCAATGTTTATATTATTTTTACTTAAGTGCAATGTAATCATTATTTTCTGTTCTTTTTTTTTTCAACTTTAATTTGTTCATAAATTGAATAAGGTTCATAGGTTATCTTGAACATTCTGGACACTGTCCTAAGTATTGTCATTTATCTATGTTCTTCAACCTACTGTATCTGAGTTATAGAAGTTCAAGAATAACAAACTTTTCTTACTTTCTAATTACAACCTAGGCAGTTCTTTCATAAATGGAAGAATTAGTCATAAAGTTGCTACCATCAAAACCTTTTGATTTAGATTATCTGCAAGAAAATTCATAGAAAAAGAGGGAAAAAATCCTTGGTAGTGACTCAAATTTCAAGAAGAACTCATTCATCAAATAGTCATGCTCTTAACACTGGTCAAAGTCATGAAAGTTTGTTATGAGTAGGCTTTACCCATCTGGCTCATACTGAAATGTAATAAGAAAAATGTAGGGTAATTCACCATTGTTTCTGATTTGATAAAATTGTAAGAAGCATTTGTTGCATTATGATGTTGAACACAAATATAAAGAAAAGGAACATTATTGAAGAACAAAACTTCAACAGTGAGTCTTAATAAGTGTTGATAATCTTTAGATTGTATATTACTTACATACCTATTTTATATGTATGTATATAACAGACCATAGGATTTGACCCATTGGTTCCACCAGAAGAAAGTATCACTTTTGGTGTGGAAAGTTTTCAACTAGATCAGTTATGGCCCAAGGCTGACTACATTACTATACATGTACCACTGATCCCACCAACAAAGCGTAAGTTTCTTATTTCTGTGTATGAATTATATTTTGGTTAAGTGATTTCATTATTATGAGCTTTGAAGATTTCCTTGTTATTTAAGTTACTAAATGACTGTTCTTTGCAAAAAAATTCAGTGAGCAGCACAGCTTCTCTCAGAATTTCAAATACATAATTTCTGTAGTTGCAAATTAAAAGAAATTTATACTGTATAAAAACTTTTATCAGATTACTATTTTGTCATTTTATTGTGTTTGGTACTCTGTAAACATCTGCAATGCAGAGTTGATAATGAACCATCAAAATATGAACTTTAATTAATGAAGATTATTACCTGCTAGTTAAAACAATAACTAGTTACTTGAAAGTTGGAAGTTTAAAATATTTGTTATCATGATAGAGAAGAACTGTTAATCTTAGTTATTTACTGGTACATTAACAATGTAGATTAAGAAGTAATAATTAAAGTTCAAAGATATAAGTTTTCAAATTATCAAAATATTAAATAATTCTTGCAGTATACTGTGTAATAAGAATCATATAAAAGTAAAATATTTTTATGATGTGAATGCCTTTTTGAAACTTGAAAAGCATGATTATAATTAACTTGCATGTCATTAAAAATTAGTATTATGCCTACTAAATACAATAAATTAATTATAATCGTGCTCCGCCACTCTGAAAAAGGTGTTCACACAAAAAAATTGTTGTTTTAACAAATGGCTAATATGAATAATATTTTAATTACCACTGTTCTTGTCGTGTCCCAGCCAATCTGATGAGCTATGGATTGAGTGAAGCAGTCATTGGCAATAGATATAGTGAACACATTGTCAGTTATTATGCACTTTTCTATTTCTTGAAAATCTCTAAGGAACTAGATACAGAATGCAGTGTTAAAACAAATACAGTAGGTCTAATACTAATGTCTAATAACAAGCAAGTTGGAAATGTTTTTTTTTCTTTCAGAAAAGTGATCTGTACCTGTAATCTAAAATACCTTTTAAAAATTGAATTATTTGAAGATTTATTCAAAACTAAAGATTAGCTGATGCAATACTAATTGGACTGTGTTCTTGATAAATGAATAAAATTGGACATCTTAATTAAAGCCAAAAAAGCAAAGTAATATCTATATGAAACCTTAATTTAAATATTTCAATGAGATATTGGATAATGTCACTGAGAAAGAAAATGTTGAGGTTTGTAAAGCATGTCCATTTGAGAAATTTTAGTATTGCTGAAATATTGAATGATTATTTTATATTTTTTAATTGATTTTATTAATAATAAAGTGAAAATTTTTTATCAATAAATGTCTTTACAAAACAGCAGACCATCAAATCATTTGTTGGATATGAGAAAGATGTCTTGCTAAGAGATGTTTTCATCCTTATATGTAAAAGGAACTTGAAATTGTAAATGATAGTTTCACAGAAAATCATCCTGAATTACTTGAAATTAGCTGTAATGACCCATGTTTTTTTTAACAGTTAAACATTAATTGGAATACACTTATGTGTGTGTGTGTGTGTGTGCATATATATATATATATATATATTCTGCCATGAATATTTGGTATGTAAGCTTTTGCATTTGTTTGATCATATACATGGATGTACAGAACAGTTCGGTGAGGGGGGTCAACTGAATCTCCTATTTTTATATTTGTGATGTAAAAAATTATGCTTATATAGTTTCAGCACAGTTGCTTGTGGTATTTAACGTTTTCTACATATTCTACATTCGTCTGATGAAGCAAGACAAGATGGCTTTCTGTACCTCTCCAGGACAGGCCTCAGATACTGGCTAACTGCTTAATAGCATGCTTCAGTGTACCAAGTATCTTTTTGTTACTGAAACACTTTGCTACACTGCCACTAAGTTCATGTCAGTGTTCAGCTTCTGCTCCCCACCTGTTGAATAATTACCTGAGATGTACACAAACCAAAGAAAGACTGAGTGCTCTAGCTTTAATATGTAATCATTATGACACTGCTATTAACATTGAAACTGTATGCAAGTTATTTACAGAAAAGCTCCCCAGAAGGATGGAGCATGTTGACATGCTATTTCAGTAGTGCATATATGTACGTATATGATAGCCAATGATTGAAATAGCTAGTATACTCTTGTTGTACAGAGTTGTTTAAATTAGTAATATAATTTAACAATTAATAACTACTCTACAAGTAGATAGTACAATACTCTACTATAATAAAACATATATATTTATGCTAATCTAAGTCTAGCTCCCCATGCAGTATTACAACAGAATGATGATTTGTTAACTTTTCATTGGATGTTTGTGGATCTTATATGAACAGCCATACAATTGTTTAAGCTATATTTCATGCAAAATTGCTTCCAGATTTATTCTCACAGCACCTATTTTTCACAAATATTCTGGGGGAGGGCATGCCCCCAAGACCCCATAGAATTAGCATGCTTTGCATGTTGATTGTGCTTCACACGTATGTTTGCTTTTGATCCTAAATATTAAAATCTCTCTTTCAAACATTCTGAATAAGGGCCTGATATATCAATAATGCAGTTTTGAAAATTAAAACCAAAACTGATATATGGGAGGGACAAGAGTATTACAAGTTAAAAGACAGAACTAATTGTTATGACCATATACACAAAGGGTTTATTTTAGTAATGTACAATGTAAGTTGTTTAGAATTTTTCCTTTCAATTTACTTCTAATTCATTTGATAATGAATGTCCATTGCAGAGTTATACTGTATTTATCTGAAACTATTTAAAATATACAATAGCAGAATAGGTTTGTATGTTAAAGAAAATAAAAAGTGAAACAATTTTCAGAGTGGAAAGGACAGAAAGCAGATACATTTCTATTATGTCTGTTGACCAAAAATGTGATGTATTTCATGCAAAAGGTATTAAATGACAGCATGATTGAGACATCAGTGGTCTGATAAAATTGATGAAGACAAAAACTTAATTTGTGAAGTAACCACAAACAACATGGGAGGTAGATCAGTAATTGAAACACTTAAAAAAAGAGAAGTAATTTGTTAGTTATATATTATTTTTATGTGTTATTAATTTTTTTACAAGGCCTAAAATTCTTGCACATTATTGTTTAGAAAGATTTTTTAAGACAGTCTAAACTGCATAGTATATTTACTGTGTTGACTTGGGGACTGAAATTGTCATTGTAAACTAACTTCATTATTAAATTGGTTTGAAAATGTGTAATTTTCGTTTATCATATGTTTATTGACAGTATATAATATTTCCTTGATTTATATTTTGTTTTTGTAGACATGATCAATGACTTAGTTTTATCCAAATGTCGTAAGGGTGTTAAAATTGTTAATTGTGCCAGAGGTGGGATCATTGATGAAGATGCCCTTTTGAGAGCTCTAGAGTCAGAACAGTGTGGAGGTGCTGGGCTGGATGTGTTTGAAGAGGTACATTCATTAAATTTGCTTAGAAGTATCAGAATAGGAACTTAAACACAAATTAGTAATGGACAGAAAAAAATATTATTATTGTTTTCCCACTTTAAGTGTAGTTATCTCAAACTGAGTCTCTTGCATGGGCCTGCAAGAAAATGGTGTGCTTTAATTGAAAACTTGTGGAAAGAAAAAATAAGTCTAACTGATGCCAGATGAAACAATACAAGAAACATAGGAATACTTTGAACTTTTTTTTTAGATTCACATTTTTTTAAAGCAATAATAGTTTAAATCTTTTTCTATCTCATACCCAAAGAGTAACAATGTAATACCTGAATATAAAAGAAGTGTTCCTTCAAAACTACAGTTAACGAACAATAAAATAAAAATAATTACATGTTTGTGTGTGTGTGTGTGTGTGTGTGTCCATTTTGAAATATAGGTGGCTGAAATTTTAAGTGCAGAACCCTAGAATTAATATTTAGTGAAATATGAATGTTTAATGTACAGAAAGATTTAAACGTCTTGCTAAGAGAAAGAATAAGTTTCTAAGTTATTTTAGAACCAACTAATAAGAAAACAACTTTTTTTTTTGTCAGGAACCACCAAAAAATTCTACTTTACTTCAACATTCTAAAGTAATTTGCACCCCACATCTTGGAGCTAGTACTAAAGAAGCTCAGAAACGTGTGGCTGAGGAAATAGCTCTTCAGTTTGTGGAGCTTTTGAAAGGTCATTCTGTGCCTGGTATTGTAAGTTTTAGCATTGTTGCATATCAACAATGTAGTGTTATATTGTTCCGACTATCATAAGATAGGTTGAAAGTTGTTTTTTTTTTAAGCTCTTTAGTGAACATTTTAGGGATAGACCCTGAATTTTTCTTGTTAATTGGTGTTTTATTATGTGTATCTTTAATTACTTAAAAAAATACCCTTAAATAACAAAAGAATAACTAGATTTAGTAAGATTGGTAAATAAAAGTAAGATGATCAAAGTTTTAACTTAGAGTTTAGTAGTGCAAATTGTACTACAATGTTAAATTAGACTTAACTGTAATTCAACTTACTGGTAAATCATAAAACAGGGTAATACATTGTTTTATTAAATAAATACAGCCTAAAGACTAGTTTATTGTCTCCTAATGTTTTAAGGATTAACTTCTTTACTTGAACTTCAGTGTATAGTTATAGGTAGGTTATAATATAAATCAAGTTAAATACATTGTATTATTAACATTATATATTCATCAAAGTAAAGACTAGTTATTGTCACTTCTAATATATTCTATTTCTATGTTCTATATAATTAAAGATATACTCAATTACTTTAGTGTGAAGACAAAGTAGTGATAAAAACTAATATAATTAAAAAGTTAGGCTTAACAGTAACAGTATTGACAATAGGCTACTGGTATTTGGTATTGAGTATTTATTTCCAGGCTATAAGTATAAATACAATGGTTAAGACTAGTGTAGGAATTAAGCATTCACAGTCTGTTAGGTGTAATGGGTGGGTTTTATTTGGGAACTCGGGACTTGCATGTACTTTTAAGAATTTGTAGAGAGGGGGTTAATTACGAGCAATACGGTAAATAGGACAAGGGCTGGCTTGTTTGCTAGGGCTATTAACTCAGTTATAAGGAAAGTTTTAAACTAGGACTAGATGGTGGTGAGGGTCAGGATAAACTAAATGCAAAAACAATAAGATGTAGAGAAAAGTTTAGCATAGGAAATGAGTACAGAAATAATTCTAAGGATAAGCTTAATTGTTACTATTGTAATGCTAGAAGTATAAGAAATAATAAAGATGACTTTAGGGTACTGGTAGGAATGAAGGGTTTTGATATAATGGGAATAACTGAAACATGGTTAAACATTGATGATTTTGAAGACAAAAATTTCTTTGGAATACAGGGTTATAAGTTATTTAACAGGGATAGAGTACTAATAATGAGTGGCTTTATATGTAAAATGTGAGTTACATCCTGTTGAAGTTAATATCTAAGAGAAGAGCAGAGACCTTAGGACCTTTGTTCTTTTTGATTTACATCATTGAGTTAGAGGAAGAAATGGTCAATATTTGTTTTGTAGTTTTTCTTTTATGTTTTAATTATTTTTCATTTGGTGTACCTTTCATAACACCCCTAGAAACTTGCTGTGACTTCAAACCTTTCTTTATGTTAAAACTTATACTCAAAAGTATTAGGCCATCAAGAAATTAATGTCTTGTTTTGGAATGCTTTCATTAGCCACCCCCCAAAAAACGAACTGCCTACACATCACGTTAGTGTAGCCTATATAATCCCTTATAGTGATGGCACATGATGAGACACACATTTGGCATGTAATGCTGTTTGAATACAAAAAGGGAAACAACACCTCTGTAGCCACAAAGAATATCAAAGAAGTTTATGGAAATGTTCTAAACATTCATAAGTGTCAACGATGGTTCAGCAGATTTCATTTAGGTGACTTTGGTCTTAAACACTGTGATGGCAGGGGCTGGCATGCTGGAATTGATATTGATGCTCTGAAGACATTTGTTGAGTATAACCCAAGGCAACACACCAGTGAAATGGCCCTGAAATTGCATGTCTCTTATGAAACAATACGTAAACATTTAAGGAATATGGGAAAACTCCATAAAGAAGGTGTTTGTGTGCCTGATGAACTCTCTGATCATCATTTCCAATGTGTGAACGTTGCTTCATCTCTTCTGACTCATAATGCACGTGAACCATTTTTGGACAGAATTGTCACCGGTGATGAAAAATATTAAATGCCAAAAACAATGGCTCAGTCCTAGACAAAACCACTTTCGCCCTCAAAACCTGGACTCCATCCGCAGAAAGTGATGCTTTGCATTTGGTGGGACGTCAAAGGAGTAATTCATTTCAAACTTCTCAATCCACAGTGAACTGTCAATGCAGATATCTGTAGTCAGTAACTAGAACATTTAAATCAAACCCTTCATCAGAAACGCCCTTCACTCGTCATTTCTCCATAACAATGCATGTCCACATGTGGCACGTCTGATGCAACACTAGATTATGGAGTTGAGTTTGGAAGTACTCCCCCACACACCATATTCTCTAGATATGGCACCATCTTTTTCATTTGCTGCAACACCATCTTAATGGGAAAATATATGTGAATGCGGAAGGTGTTAAAGAAGACATCATTTTGTTTTTTGCTTCAAAGCTAAGTGATTTTTTTAATCAGAGCATAAACAACCTGAATGTAAGATGGAAAAGCATCATCGATAAGAATGGAGACTATTTCATTTAATAAATGTTTTGTTGCAATATATATATATAAGTTGTTTGGTTTTTATCATGTAAAGAAAGTGACATTAATTTCTGGACAACCTAATAATTCCATACTTTTTCAACTTTACGATGACTAGAATATATTAAATAGTTTTGCTATATGCATACTGAAAAACTGGTTTAGCATTTTGATTAGGTAAACTTTTTTGAGGCTACCAAACTGATGAAAGAATGACTTCTAATCTTTACAAGTAATATACTTAAATTTGGTTAGCTATACTCTTTACCAGGTTGATTTCTGGTTGTGATTGGAAGTGATTATTAATTATCTAAGTCTGATCTGTTAAACTGCTGCTGAAAACTTTAGTTAGATTTTATGTGTAGTGAAAATACTAACTTACTGTTAATGCTATTTATTTTCTACAGGTAAATGCACCAACCTTTGGTCAATTTCAAGTAGCTGACAACAAATATTGGGTGAAACTGTGTCAGACATTGGGAAAACTTGCCGATAAACTTGTGACCTCTGATGAGCAAAAAAATGTCATAGTTTCTACTCGAGGTAATTCCTTTAGTATAAACTTGTTTTTTAGTTTCACCTAATGTTAAAGAATATCACACATTACCTAAGGTAATCCATTTTTTCTTTTTTGTAGTATATTAAAGAATATTTACTTTTTTTAACATGTTAAAATTTGAATGTCAATGAGGGATGTGGAACTGGTAATATGCTTTGTACTGTTTTTAAAAATGAATTAAATTTTTCTAGTGTTTTGTAGTTTTATAGAAAAGTGCTTTACTTTGAAAATCCCATTGTGGCCTACTTTCTCAGTATGCATATAGCAAAACTACTGAATATATTCTAGTCTTCATAAAGCTGAAAAGTATGGAATTACTTTTGAGCACAAGTTTTAGCATAAAACAAAAGTTTTGAATTAGGTGTATATATCTCTTATTGATTGAATCTGTGTTAAACAGAAGACTCCTGAAGGTTTCAATTGGACAAAGTCATAGCAGTATTTATCATAATTTACCTGTTTTAACAAAAACGTAAAAGATGTGTAAAATTGTAAATAACAATTTATTTAAGATTCATATTATTTTTGCAAGATAATATGAGTCTTTTAATTCTTGGCATTTTAATTAGTCATAATCTTCCTTACAGTTTCTAAGAAATTTTTAAATATATTCTACAAAACTTAGTTTTTTTTATTAATCATAAAAACATGTTTGCTTTGAGCCATCAACTGCTGTATGGGAAAATAAATTCAAATTTACAGGGCATACTAGAAAACAAAATCATTGCATTTTCTTACTTGTGCTTTTATCCTCACAGCAAACTTTGGAGTAATGTTAAATCATTATGCAACTGGCATGATGAAGGCTCAACAAATTTGAAACTTGTTAATATCATGTGGGATCATTTGTTCTAACTTACATTATTGTCATGCCAAAATTTGTTAAGTATGAATCTGTAAATTAGTGTGCATTCAAAATTGTAGATTGGTTTTATCACTTGAGCTAATGTATAGTGTATAAAAATTTTTTAAACCTTTCTAACTGTGTAGCAGTATGTTTTGTTACCATGGTTAATATTAAAAAAAAAGGTTAGTATTCAACAAAGTATTTCTGTATATCTTACTAGGGTCATTCACTATTACTAATCAAATTTGTTTCAGTCATATTAAACAATCTACAAAATGAAATGTAAATTAAAGATCCATTGTGTTAAAATATTAGTTAAATGATACACTATTTATCAGAGTATATAATATATGCATGGCAGTTTCATTATGTGTGAGGAACTGGGCGTAGTGTAGTAGTCAGTGTGTTGGACTATGAACTCATGGGTCCAAGGTTTGCATTCCTTTGGTGTAAAATTGCTCCCTGCATTTTGGGGGCCATAGGTGCATTATAACAGTAACAGTTAAATCCCACCATTCAGTCAGAGTAGCTCAAGAGACGAAGTGGTTTAACTGTCTTCCCTCTAATCTATAAATTTAAAATTAGGAACAGCAAGTGCAGACAGCTCTTGTACAACTTTGCATGAAAATCCCAAAAAAATAAAAATGAGTAAACTTTACTCTATAAGTAATTAGTAAACATTTTTTAAGCAAACTAGTATCAGTTGTATCAGTTCATTGTTCCACTACCATAAGAACGATTGTAGAATATGATTTTTTTTTTGCCTGTCTAATAAATATGCATTAGGAATAGATCCTAAATCTTCTTCTTCGTCTTTGGACCCGGTTTGGCCAGGTGGTTAGGGCACTTGACTCACAATCTGAGGGTTGCGGGTGAATCCCCGTCCCACCAAACATACTCACCCTTTCAACTGTGAGGGTGTTATAATGTGACTGTCAATCCCACTACTCCTTGGTAAAAGAGTTGGCAGTGGGTGGTGATGACTAGCTGCTTTCCCTCTAGTCTTTCACTGCTAAATTAGGTACAGCTTGCACAAATAGTCCTTGTGTAGCTTTGCACAAATTTCAAAAGAAAAACCAATCTTCAGCCTGCTGTTAACACTGTTATTACAACTATCACAAATAGCTAGCTGGTTTAGGTGACAATTGCATCTAAGATATCATAAGACTCACTCTCCAATTTAGGTGGCACTACAGATTAAATAAATTTGTACTTATTACAACTGTTTAAGACCTTGTACAGTTGTTAATCTCTCTCTCTTTTAATTTAGGTGCATTACTAGAGAAAAAAGGTACAGTTTTAGGAATAGCTACACTGGTAGGCTTGATGAGTAATACGTCCAGCAATGGTATTAATTTCATCAATGCACCTTTACTGGCAAAAGAAGCAGGAATTAAGGTAGTATTTCTTTTTGAATGTTTTTAAATGCTTATTTATATTGGAACTGTTATATATAGAAAAACAAAAAAACAGCTATGAATACAGTTCCTTAGCAGTAGTTGTACAGTTACATTTCTTTGAGTACAGCCTAAGATTAAGATTACCATTAGTTCAAAACATTGTACTTGCTTCTATCATAAACATTCTATAGCTATGTTAGCAAAAGTACATTTATGGGACTATCACTGAAAGGGATTCAATATATTATTAGGAACACTTTTTGATGAAAGATTAGGTAGTCTCTCTCTTTTTTTTTAATGTCTAAAATGCTTGGAGTTATCCTGACCTTCCATGTTCTATTCTTGTGCCAGTGTTCAGTATATTGATATGTTTGTGATAATATGTAAGAAACATTATTACATACCACAGCAAGGTTATTAAAGTTCTAGAATAAAAAGTGGAACTTCAAAATGCCTTCACATTTTACTGTAGGGTAGTATTAGTACAGTTTTATTTACTTCAACTTAAGATAGATAAACATATTGTGATTGTACTAATTTATTCCTGATTTACTGCTACTACTTATCAAGGCATATTTTACACCCTGTGCTGAAAGATCAGGTTCTTTTTTGTTGACAGAAGATAATATAAATGATTTTTTGCTATTTTCTGAAATGTTTAAGCTAATAATTTACATATAGGCAAGGCTTAAATTTTATATGTATATACACACATACATATTGTCATAAGTGGTGTGTAACTGCATACTAGCATTCAAAGAGTGTAAAATAGTCTGTCTCTTTGTTAGGTATACATGACTGTTCATTTTAAGTTTAATACAAGAGGATTATTTAGTTTATATTGTGCAAGTGTTAAAGTAATTTATTTTTAGAAGTGATAGTTATGACAAGTTTGCTTACATAACTGTTTATGAATAATTTGTTGCTTTGAGTATTGTTACATCTTAGCATCTCATAGTTTTATATATAAATAAATGAATAAATAAATAAATAAATAAAAATAAATGGCTCACAAATCTATTGATTACATTAATTGTTAATAGGCAATTAAATTAGCACTATCAATCAATAATGAATTAAATATCACATTACCATTATCAGTCCAGGTTGTCAACTTGTTGTTATAACGGATAATGTCTATGGTGATAGCACCCAAATGCATTGAGGATATCCCATCTATCAGACAAAATCCAAACATCGATGTCAATCTAGTCATCTGTCATGGAAAATCAAATAAGGGTACGAATCTGAATGCTTACATCAACAACGTCTTGGCTTCTACTGCCTTTCACTGTCTATAGCCAGTTGTGGGAAGGCAGTTATCCTTAAATTTCTTAAAGTGGAAATAAATTGAAATGAAGCCACCCTAATATTTCTATTAATTAAACTCCTATCCTCCACCCTTACAAAAAGATATTAAATATGATTTACCTATAATAATCTATTCACTTACATTACCCCGTGGGATACTACAGTTGGATCCAGAGCTTTAAATAATTCTCTTTTACATCAAAAGTTTAGAAAGGATGGTTCAGTTACTTTATAACCAAACTGACAAGACAAATTATTCTCCTATATCTCTGTTATTACAATACAAGCTGTGAAACTCACCTTAGAAATCGGTCGTTACGGTTAAACGGATACACAGTCTAATTTCACTAACTAACTTGGTCACCTAAATATGTATTGCCCGACTGAGGCCTAGAACTTTCTACAAACTACGAGATGCTATAATTTAACAATACTATCTTAAAGCAATGAGAAAAATTCAGAAGATTTGAGTAACATGACGTCAATTCAGAACAATTGAACTATGCAACAAATAATTTGTAAACAATTACATTTGCAAACTTGGCATAACTATCACCTCTAAAAATAATTTAATGCTCACACAATATAAACTAAATAATACTCTTGTATTAAACCCAAAATGAATAGCAATGTGTATATATAACAGTCATTGAACCTATAATGTCATGAACCTAACTACACATTCACTGTCTGCAGTAAGGTCTGGGGAGGGGTTGCTTAATATTGAAATTAAAGAAAGATTAAACAATCCAACAATATGTAAACCTAAAGGTTTCAGAATAAAAAATTCTTGATTGGATCAAGTTTTACGTCACAGGAGAGATTAAGATTTTAAATTAACTGATCAGAAAAAATGTTGGGAAAGACAGCCATATTTACAAATAGGTAATTATATCAACTTGATCATGTGGGCTATCAAGTCTGTACTGGCTGGTAATGTGAAATATTTTTTTTCTTTTGTCTAATGGTGTGTGTGTGTGTGTGTGTGTGAGTGAAAATATTGTTAAATTCTGAAAAGCAGCAGACCACACAACTTGTTCCTCAGATTTTTAAAGAGTAAAATCTGCTTTTCAGAATATGAAGTAATTGGTTTGTTGTGCATTAAATTATCTAGAACTTGCAGCACAAAGGCTAATATACAAAAATACACTGTAAAGAGTAGAAAGATTTAGTGGTTAAGCAACATTTTTTATTATAATCTTCATTAGAACAATTGCTGTGCTGGTTACACTCTTTGTTAAACAGTTTTCCTATGATAAAAAAAAATTGGGGGTACCAGTTAAAACGTTATTCCAAATTTGTGACCACTAGAAACAGTTGGACACACCATTTTGAAATAAAAAAAACAAACATAAGTTATCAGTTAATGTATACTTGCTTAAATAAACCTCTCATATGGGAAATGAATACCATGAAAATAATTAGGGTTATAGAATTGATTTTTTTTATACAATGTGTCACAAAAATTTCAGGATTGTTTTATCGGTACAAATTCAGAATGCCAATTTTCCTACTAGATAAATTATTGTTATTACACACATTAATATCTGTTTATAAGTAAATTTGTTTCCAATCATTATATATATACAAAACAGTTATTAAAATTATAGTGTAATCATACAGCTTTCCATTCACCATAAAGAAGTTTTGATGAGCTGTGATGGACAGTGTCCATCATCAGCAGTTGAAATAAAAGTGGAGGCAGGGAATGAGAGCCATGTTCTTGTGGGTACTACTGAAGGATCTGTCCTCTTATTATGTTCAATAGATGATGCTTGTTTTAACCCTTGCCAACCTTTACAAGGAAACCTTGTTGTGACAAAAATTGATGATGATAAAAACTTGGAACTTGAGCTAATGAGTAAGTTTCAGTGTTTCTTTTATGTTTAAAAACATTGTTCTTTCAGACCTAGTTCTATGTGTGTAATACATGTTTCTCCTTTAATTCTATTGTCTTAGCTGTTTTGTGGGCTCAGTTTTTTCTTCTACTTCTATATGTGAATAAATAAATAATTTGTAAAGTTGTTTAAGAGTTAAAACGTTGAGTTTGTCATATGATAAAGAATATATTTTTAGTTACATTTGTACAGCTACACTTATGACAAAAGTTTTGTACTTTGAAATTTCATGTTCAAATGAATATTAACTGCTATTTGAAAACTGTTATCTTTCCTTGTGGATGAATAAAACTACATCTGAAGTAACTGCTAAAAGATTGAAGTGTAATTGTAATTGTAAACTTTTCAAATTAACCAATATTTCTTGTTAATTTTTGTCTGTATAACATGAACATATTGAGGAATGTTTAAAAACAACTTGTATACTTCTGCTCTTGGCTTGCACAAGGAGGTTATCACCAATTTATAGATATAAAAGTAAATTCACCTTAAAAAATTTGTATGATTTAATATCCACCAGATAAACTACTTTTCATTTAAGATTGAATGCAGATAAATCAATCAGCTTAAAAACATTAGTACCTAATATTTTAAATACTCTAAACATTTCCTCTGTACTGTGGAATCTGCAAGAAAACAAAACTCTCTTTCTTGTAGAACTCATGAGTCTCTTGTGTTATATTTTCTAGATTGAGAGTAATGTAACTACCATTAGGTCTTGAAATCATTGAGATTGACACATTTAAAAAAATTAACTTTACAAAATAATTTTCAATAGGATTTCCATCTTTATGAATCATGTTCAATTTTTGTGTGTGATGATCTCTGTTGAACTTCCTTTGGCAGCCTATAAAATTTCTGAATTCCATAATTTTTCTGTGTTATGATTTTAGAAATTTGTCTGACTTTTTTTTTTTTCCCTTCAAGATACACAAAATGATAGTAACCCAATGCTGCAAGTGAAAATCAATTTTCACTCTTCTTAAATATTGACAAAATTTGTGTCTGTTGTGTCAGCTTCTGAATAATTCCTTTCTAAGAAGCTAGATTAGAACTAAAATCACAAATGTAATCAGTTTGCACATACCATATTAATAAATTCCCAAAAAGGACCAATCAAAATAATACACTAATATAAAAATGTTTAGATTTTTCATGTGAAGAATATGTTGTAACCCAAAATTATTTCATTAACGATTAATATCATAAACAAATATTATATAATGATAAATTTACAAAAAGTATATTTTACTATGAATATTTCCTATGATATATTTATTAATACATAGAATATTATTTATAAAGAATAAGTTATTACTTACAAATAAATGTTTATCTTAATAGAATACAGAGATTAAGAGATAAAATTCCAACAGTTAAAAAGGAGATTATACATAAACATTTTTATTACTTGACAACAAAAATATTTAATAATTTACCTTTCATAATACCAAATCAAAATGACTACAGTTAAAGTACTAGAAAGAGAATATTTGTTTAAGAATATTTAGATAAGGTGGTAAAATGAATTATTATTTTTTACTTAAATGTGATTATGTAAAAAATAAATACCTAATAAACAACGTTATTAACCCAGACAAGCTAAAAGCTCTTAGGTTACTTTTGTATTCATAACTTAATTTGTAATTAATTCTATTGTAATAATAATTGAAAATTTTACAATTTAGAAATTGATTGGGGGGGGGGGGATTGGCTAATAAATTTCTTCATAAAGCAGTGACAATAATTTTTAATGTTGTTCTTGTCATAATTAATCCACCTTACATTAAGTGATTCTCATACTTTTTGTAACATGTTACAGAATCTTTCTGTTACCTATCTGATATTCAAGTTTTCCTTTGAATAATTTCTGGTTAAACTTTACAAATATGTTTATAGTATGTTAATGAGGAAAAACTGAACTTTGAGTAAGCAATGATTTTCAGTGAATTTACTGTATAGCATCAAGTGGGCTTCCTTTCCTTTGGCATTTATATGCCAACTTACATAATTAAAGGGCATTTGTATTGTTAGAATACTTCCCATACATTTTGTTTAAAGCAAGTGAAATTGTACTTTCTTATATTGCTAATTAAGTATATTTTCCATATTTGAATAATTGTATTGACTTTAAGTGGAAAATGGAATTTTTATGGTAATTAAAATATATTTTCTTCACAGAATCACTAATGACAGGTGAAGCTTGTGTTCGTTCTGCAGCAATATCTGCACCCTTTAATGAACAAAGATGGTGTATTTTCAATACAATGTCACCAACAGTTTCTCTTAAACAGCCAGTGTTTTGGACCCAGTTGATGGTATAATGCAAAGCCACCAATGAAAGGGGTATTTCAATGCCTATTAGTGTTCTACTGCACTATTTGAAATTTGTTTACATTCTTGGTATATAACATTATGGAAATTCTGTTAATAAATATGTGTAGTGAACTACATTTCACTTACAAAGACCTGAAAAATAAATAATTTTATACAATTAATGTGTATTCTCTATTTTGTACAATAATTTGTTCATACTTCTCCATGTAATTTACAAAAGATAAATTTCATAAACTTTAAATACTCTTTAAAGGCTTTGGAAAATGTCATTAAAATATTCATAATCACATTATGTAAAAGATTATTATGACTCTTAAATGTTTTTACATTTTTCTTTTGTGACCATGATTGCTAAAGTACTTATCCTATCACATTTATCTCTGTAAATAAGAATAGTTTTTACTTCATACTGTCTCAAGACATTTCACACAATGGTTTTTATCAGTAATCATACCTGCATGATAATTAATAATGAATGCTAATGATAATGAATGCTAAAGTAAAGGAAAACAGAGACTGATTTTTCAAAAGAAAATAGCAATTCCCTGATGATGTTTCTTCTTGGAATTGCAAAATGAAAATGTATCATGATCAGAACTTATATGGACTTTAAAAATTATCAGTTCCTAATTACAATATTTAACATGCATTGGACATGTAGAAACATATAAACTGTTACTTTCTGACTCAGCTGTTCTAATCGAAAATATCACATACAGTATCTGAAGGTGTTGGGCCTGTACTTCCAGGACTTGGCCATTCAAAACATTGTTAATTCACAGACTACATACATGCTGGAGTATAATGCAACAAAATACATAGAACAAGAAGCAGGTGGATGATCATTTGTGATATTGGTTAAAATTGAAAAATTAAGTTGTAGTACAATATTATAAATGTAAACATGTGAATATTTGATAACATTTATGAGAAGCTTATACAAGCAGAACTTTCAGTACCTATTGACATAGGGAGGTGTAATTTGCAATGCACTTGCAAAGGAACTAGACTAAGAGTTAGTTTATGGGACTTGCCACTGGAGTTGTTTGTTTATTTCTTTGTAGTTAAGAACAGCTACACAACTGACTATCTGTGCTCTGCCCATCACAGGTATAGAAACCCAGTTTCAAGCATCGTAAGTGCTGGTGATAAATGGCAACAAAAAATGAACAGCACACAATCCACTTGTTTTAAAATAATATATTTAAAACAAGTCAACCGTATGTACAAAAATTCTTTACACTATAGGATATCGTAGTTTTACCTAAAACTCTAAATAATAATTTTTTTTGTCAAAAGTCCACACAGGCTAATTCAATTACTTTAGAATCCAATTGACAAGACACATTATTTTCTTTATCTTTGTTTCTCACGATACAAATTGATGAATAATTCACTTACGTTATCTCTTGGGTTACCACAGTTGTATCCTGAACCTTAAATAATTGTTTCCTTTTTGTCAATGTTCACACATGCAGGTTCAATTACTTTAGAACACCCTTTGACAAGACAAATTATTCTCCTTACCTCTATTAAACTGTGAAACTCACTTTAAAATATCACCTGTTATGGCTAATCACTCACAAGCCGGCTAACTTAACGTTTTCTAACCTCACTCACAAGTCACCTATATATATAACTTGTTCACTGAGGCCTCGAATTTTTGACTAACTATGAGAGTGCATCTATAACGTAACAATACTCAGTTAAGGTAATGAGAAAAATAACAAAGATTCGAGTAACCTGACATGAACAATATTAGTAAAGCATAGACAACAAAGTAATTGCAAACACAATGTACAATTCATACAGAGTTACGTAACAAAATTCATCACAACTAACACTTTTAAAACAATCCTGTCTTAAAACTAAACAATAATTAAATGTTAAGTCACAAAATAAACTAAATAATAACACTAAATAGTCTTGTATATCCAACAATTAGCCCCTCTTTAAGAAAAATATATACAATATTTTTTACACAATATACAAAGACTCTTCTTATTTTATATACTAAGTTTTCTCATATAGTTTACACCAATATTTGCAGTTCCCTTTTTGTCTCTCTTATCATGGGGCATCTAGTAGGGCTTCACCTTGAGAGGATCCTTTGTCTTCATCTTGATCTTGTGTTTTTCAAGGTCTGTCTTTCCTAATCTCTCTCTATACTGGCACAGTAGATCTTGTTCCTCTCTCTTCTTGCCAGTCAATTCTTCACTTATGTTGATGTCTGTATATGTCTCACCTCCTCCCAGTGGTCTTAGGCCTAGTAGGTCTTTATCTTCTATAACGAAGTCATTGTCTTCTGGTTCTGAATCTATAACAGCCACACCTGCCATGTCCATCTATACCTCCTTTCTTCTCAAAGTACCTCTTCAACAGATTGGCATGGTTGACCTTGATCATCCCATCCATTTTCACTTTGTAGTGCATTCTGTTGACCACTTCCTGTATTGCAAAAGGTCCTTTCCACTGCAGGGCGAATTTGTTGTTGGCTGTGGGTAGCAGAAAAAAAAAACCTTCTGTCTGACCTTGAAATGTTGACCCTTGGCCTTCTTGTTAAAGAAGTGTTTCTGACTGTCTTTGATGGGTTTGGCTTACCCAGTAGAACTGCTTTAATAGGTCTGGCTCAATACTCCTTTCTGGTCCTCTGTTTTGTAAGTCTTTTTCCATTTTGTCTTTTGCTCCACTTTCTCTTGGGCACTGTCCCAAACTTTCTGCAGTGACGAGTCTTTTTATGCACTTTTTTCAGCTCCTGTGAACTTACATTCAGGATGGCACTTTCAGAGATTTTAAGGGGCTTGATACCTTGCTTGCTTGCTCTTCTGTCCTTGAGCTCTTGTGTGACTGCAGATGCTTCATCCATCTTCTTTCTGTCTAGTTCTTCCAAATTTCTACTACCTTGTATGTTTCCAATCACCAAGTCATATATTGGTCTTTGATACACATGGCTTCAAGGTCTCCTACATAATATGGAGCATCCACCTATACTTTTGCTATGGGAAACTTTCTCACTGTCCCATCAATTAACACACACAAGTGTACCTTGCCTGTCATCTGATCATAAGATACTAGACTGGTTCTTACTGCTGCACTACTGTACCCAGTGTCTCATAGGACTTTCACTTTCTTGTCCCCAACATATCCTTCACCTGTTGGTATATTGTAATTTGTTAGCACCTCTTGATATTTGTAACATTCTCCAATCACCAATGGCACTGCTGACCTATTTGCTAACTTAAGCTAGCCATCACTCATACACTGTTTAATCATGGTGATAGCACTTCCTTCTTGTGGTGAAGCTGATGAGCATTCTCTTCTGGCAGCAGCATACATAGTGCCAGTCACTCTTTTCTTGTTTCTTAACAGCACTATCTTTGTAAATAGCTCCAGCTGCTTATGTTGAGATTTCTGCTGTTGCTTGTAGGTGATTGACTTGCACTCCTTTGCAATGTGCCCTAGCTTATAACAAATATAGCATCTCTTCTTTCATTTATCTGTTACTCTCCTGTCACCTTTGGTAGACTCCTGCTCCTGGTCAGCCACCAATGCTTTTGACTTTAACTGGATATTCTTGGACTTGCCAGTTATACTCCTTCCATGGGTTTCCATATACTGTTCTGCCAGCTTGATCATCTTCTTTACGTCTTTTGGTGCACTCTCATTTAGGAACAGTGACATGTCAGTTGAGCACATGATCATGAACTGTTCATGAATTAGTAGATCTGCCAGTCCCTCAAAACTAATGTCACACTTGGCCATGTCAGTCCATCTTGTGAAGTATCATCGTAAACGTGCCACAAACTGAAATACAGTTTCTCTGGTGTCAGGTTTGACTTCTCTGAATTTCTGATGAAAACCTTCTTCATTAAGTTCGTATTGTTTCAGCAAAGCAACTTTTAATTTGTCATAGTCCGTGGCATTTTCTGACATCATGCCTGCATACACTTGTAGGCCTTTTCCTGTGAGAAGTGGGCTGAGACAGACTGCCCAGTTGCCTTTGTCCCAGTTTTGCCTTTGGGCAAATCTTTCATATCTCTCCAGGAAAGCATCCATGTCATCTTTCTGTTCATCAGATTTGAGCAGCTTAGTTAGGCTGGCCTTGATTCCACTGTTATTCTTGGGTCCTTCCTCTTTCTGTTGGGTGAGCGTGGCAATCTCAATTTTGCTCTTATTCTCTCTTCTTGCAGTCTCTCCTCTCTCTCAGTTTGTGCTCATATTCTCTCTCTCTCTATTTCCATTCTCTTCTTTTCTCATTTTCTTCTCTCTCCTTTTCTTCTTCTCTGTCTATGCTCTTCTCTCTCTCTCTAGTTCTTGTTGATGCTTAACAAACTGTTGTAGTTCACTATCTTTTAATCCATGATGCTAACCTCTTTCTATCCATTTATCATAATTAGCTGATATGGTTATATAGTGTAATTGTAATCTCTACACTATTTTCACCACCACTACCATTCTGCAGTTATAGGCCTACATATTTCCGCTGTTTTTCATGTCTTCTTCTACCGCTGTATAATCCTGACTGGCTCACCAAATGTCAAGGTTTTAAATAAGAGTGGGCTGAGGATCTTCGCTGTCTCCATCATGCAATGCAGAAGTAGCAGGAAACAATTGCTGTATTTTTTCACATTGCTGAGAAGTTTCCATATGTCATGAAAGCTGAACAAGAGATTGTTGGATGAGTTAATGGATATACCTGAAGAGTGATATTTGGAAACAGAACTGAGAGGAATAGGTCATTATTGGAGAATTTTTCTTATGGAAGAGAGGGTTGTAGGTAAGTTACAATTTCCATGCCATGTGAACTCATAAGGCACCATTGTCTTTGTCTTGTGGCAATACAAATGTTGAACATGGATTTTCAATCAAAGTAACAAAGAAGAAATCAGATATACTGTAGCAGTCTGCCAGTAGTCTCAGAACTATCAAAGACACTGTGAAAAATATTGATCCATTACAAGTTCCAGTTATTAAAGAGATAATCAAAGTTTATGCGGAAGCTTGAGCAATGTAAAAATGGAGGACTGAAGAGGTAGAAGAGAAGGCTAAACAGGAAAATGAACATTTTCACATTTTAAAACAGAGTGAAGAGAACAAAAAGTACAAAATGAAAAGCATGCACAGGAAAATGTAGAAAGAACAAC